CCACTCTTCAGCACTACCCACTCCTCCACACCACCCACTCTTCAGCACCACCCACTCCTCAACACCACCCACTCCTTCAACACCACCCACTCCTCAACACCACCCACTCCTCAACACCACCCACTCCTCAACACCACCCACTCAACACCACCCACTCCTCAACACCACCCACTCCTCAACACCACCCACTCCTCAACACCACCCACTTACCACCTTGCAAGAACAACGTTCATTTCCTCCACAATACCAGTAAAAGCAATCACTGGAGTACTTGAGCCGAGGATCAATGATCAAGCCACTGCTAGAATACTGGTGCAGTTTCGGAGATTAAGCAGCCGCTGGTGTACCTGTTCTGGGTATCAGTGCTTAGGTAATTACCAACATGCTAACGCTAGGTCCCACACAATTATAAAACAAGCATCACATTTTGCTTTTGTACTGTTCATATGAGTTTGATGTACAAAATAAGGCAATGTTCACGTTAGTTACTGATCATTTGGGCTGTGTTGCCTACGTTGATGTGCGTGTTGCTATCCCAAACAGCTTGATTGATCAGGCCATCAACTAAGAAGTTTGATTTGGGACCGAAACGATGGGGCGATGACCCTCTAAACTGACTACAGGCTGATCTATAGATGGTATATTTTGGCTAATTTAACCGAAGAATTGCATATAAATCTCATAACATCAGTGATACAAGATTAGCAAACCTTAAATAAGCATTCAGAAATTTTAGCAAAGAATCTTCGACTAACGTATGGAAATAAATGTGCTAAGGATCCATACATTAGTAAACCAATGATGTGGCAACGTGTCTGGTCTGCTTTTCTCGATGATCTTTCATCATTTTATAAATACACGTTTGTCCGAGAGGAATCTAGCAGCAGCGGGTCCAGCCCCGCATTATACCAGCGATGGAGCGGAACCAAGCAATGATGTTTATGCAACGCAAATGGAAGAGATTCGTCAAGGAGCAGCCATGAGGGAGTTGATACAGGCGCCGCTCAAGTGCTATCAGCTTATTAATATAGTCCTCTGATGTACAGCCCGAGGGTTGCCACCACAACACCCCCTGTTGTTGTTGTTGTTGTTGTTGTTGTTGTTGTTGCTATTGGTGGTGGTGGTGGTGGTGGTGGTGGTGGTGGTGGTGGTGCTGCTGTGCTGGTGCTGCTGGTGCTGCTGGTGCTGCTGGTGCTGCTGGTGCTGCTGGTGCTGCTGGTGCTGCTGCTGCTGCTGTAGGCTTGCGTACATTCCAGTCACACAAATGGAATTCTGTCTGCCCAGAATCCCGGGTAATGAACAGGCTGATGCAGGAGTTAAGGCTGCTGTATGTAGTGCATCCTTCGGTAGGCTTTTGACTGACATTTTGGGTCATATACAGCGGGGGAAGTGTCTGTCACAACAGATGATGCAAACACCTGATCGTTCTGTTATTTCTATTATTACATTTGTGAGGCAACAGTAAACCCGCAAGCATCAAATATATTACCTGAGGAATGAGAAATAATGAGGTTTATTCCGAGAGGAATGATGGCTCCAATTCCTTAGATCAAGAGCCTTTTACCAACATCAAGGCGCCCTCTCTGATGAGTTTGTTGATAATCTTTGCTGCTGTACTTAACCTCATAACAGGAATTCGACATTAAATGTGACCTTTTTTGCAATGCAATTTAAAATCGGCTGCTCCTCAAAAACTTCTTATCAGTATCCTTTGCGACTGCCGAGACGAGTAATGAGAGGGATCAGTTTGAACTGCTTTATAATTGGCCGAGTGACAAGAAGTCCCAGGAGGTGGGACCCAGAGCGTGTGCCTGAGGCGATAAGTAACACGTTCCTGGGTGTATGGAGAATGCCAGTGAGCAGATACCCATTGGCGGGCAAGCTGTTATTTAAAAGGCACTTTAAGCAGGGAAGACCTTTATTTTTTACATCACTTTTTTCCACTGTGGATGAAATGTAATATAAAATTCTTACCTGCTTCGAGTGTCACGAAACCGTAATAACACGATTGGAAACAAAAATACGGTATGGATGGGATGTGAACCCATTATAAACGATTTTTAAGACTTCATCGCCATGCGTTCAAACCTCCACCCGTTCCGTGGTCTGCTTAGATTGAATAGTCAGCTCACACCAGCCAGCGTCTGCCTAGATAATAAACAGATGGTTGCTCAAAAAAAGGGGATGTCAAGGTGGAAACACCAGTAGCCAAAATTTTCCAAGAAGAGTACCGGTTCCAGGGTTGATCCTTCTTGGTACCCCATTCGTCACGTTCGTCTTCATGATACTTCCTTTCAGAAATGTACCGACTTTTTAGGGTCTCTTTGATCCTCTGTATCTCTGCCTGATCTTCCCATTAGTTATTACTCTTTCAGTATGGTACAGCGCCTAATGTTTTCTTGCAACTCGTGAATATGCAAGGCGCCCTATCCATCCCCTTCCTGTTTCATTGCGTGCATGTAGAATGGGGGAAAATCCGGAAAAGGGTAGCTCCAATTCCATGGATCAAGAACCCTTTACCAACATGAAGGCATTCCTCCTTTCCTTCAGTCTCCGTCATAAACTTTCAGGGTCGATGGGAGGTCCATCCTTGTGAGAGGAGGCAGTCAAGGAGCTCCCCACAGCCAGCATGAATCTTGTGAACTCTTCCTGGAAGTAGTGGTGAAAGTAGTTGACACGGGGCATCCCTGGGAAGCGTGACGCAAGTCTTGGAATCTGTCGTGTGATATTCTACGACCACGTGCTGGGTTGTTAGTGTAGAGGCTGTACAACCACGTGTTGCGATGTGTCGAGTAGTGGTGTACAACATTTGTTTGGGAGGTGTCGTGTAGTGGTGTACATCATTTGTTTGGGAGGTGTCGAGTAGTGGTGTACAACATTTGTTTGGGAGGTGTCGTGTAGTGGTGTACATTTGCTTGGGCTGTGTCGTGTAGTGGTGTACATTTGCTTGGGCTGTGTCGTGTAGTGGTGTACATCATTTGTTTGTGAGGTGTCGTGTAGTGGTGTACATCATTTGTTTGGGAGGTGTCGTGTAGTGGTGTACATCATTTGTTTGGGAGGTGTCGTGTAGTGGTGTACATCATTTGTTTGGGAGGTGTCGTGTAGTGGTGTACATCATTTGTTTGGGAGGTGTCGTGTAGTGGTGTAATCATTTGTTGGGAGGTGTCGTGTAGTGTGTACATCATTTGTTTGGGAGGTGTCGTGTAGTGGTGTACATCGTTTGTTTGGGAGGTGTCGTGTAGTGGTGTAACTTTGTTTGGGAGTGTGTGTAGTGGTGTCACATTTGTTTAGGAGGTGTCGTGTAGTGGTGTACATCATTTGTTTGGGAGGTGTCGTGTAGTGGTGTAAATCATTTGTTTGGGAGGTGTCGTGGTGTGTACATCATTTGTTTGGGAGGTGTCGTGCAGTGGTGTACATCATTTGTTTGGGAGGTGTCGAGTAGTGGTGTACAACGTTTGTTTGGAGGTGTGTGTAGTGGTGTACATTTGCTTGGGATGTGTCGTGTAGTGGTGTACATCATTTGTTTGGGAGGTGTCGTGTAGTGGTGTACATCATTTGTTTGGGAGGTGTCGTGTAGTGGTGTACAACATTTGTTTGGGAGGTGTCGTGTAGTGGTGTACATCATTTGTTTGGGAGGTGTCGTGTAGTGGTGTACATCATTTGTTTGGGAGGTGTCGAGTAGTGGTGTACAACGTTTGTTTGGGAGGTGTCGTGTAGTGGTGTACATTTGCTTGGGATGTGTCGTGTAGTGGTGTACAACACTTGCTTGCTATGTGTCGTGTAGTGTTGCAGGACCACGTGCTTGGAATGTGTCGTGTAGTGTTGCAGGACCACGTGCTTGGTCTTGTCTGCTGTAGCGTCTTATCCTTTACAACATTAACATAAACATGGAGATGTGGTAATAATTTTTTGCTCTTAATATTTAAGTTGCAGAGACCCAAGTACAAGCGTCACACACTCTTAATTATTCTCTTTTATACAGCATGTAAAAAAAAATTAGGATTACGAAAAAATATTGCATAAAAAACAAACCACGAAAACATATGATGTGATGCGAGAAAATACCACAGTGAAGGGAAAAAATCCTGTTTTGGTATACGAAGAAATGTTCCCAGATGTGAAAAATCATCAAATGTTTTAGTTCAAATTTTTTCACTTTTTTTTTTTTTTTTTTTTTACATTTGTAGTCACCAGTTTATTTTTTTTCTTATGATTGAAGGGATACATGTTTAGTAGGTCAGCGGTAAACCAAACAGAAGGAGTCTGCACCATAAGTCACCTGTACCATCAAGCAGGACTAGTCTCCACTGGGTCACCCGAGACTCGACCCGGCGTCTAGATACAGTTTTCCTGACCAAATTACTCCCCCCATATGTCATTGTTTAGTCACTTCAAATGAGTAAGCAGAAGCCGAGTTCATTCTAAAAATCCCACACGAGGAATGACAACAACAAAAGGTCACCCCGGATAATGTTTCCATCTTGCATACCGCGGAAATATTCTTGTTTGAAAAGAATTTTGTTTCTCATAATAAGATTATATTCCGGGTTTTATATACTTGATTTATTTTTACAATGATCTTGATGCCTGGTCTCAGACCGGGCCGCGGGGGCGTTGACCCCCGAAACCCTTTCCAAGGATACATATTTTGTACCTAGAGAAGGTTTCGGGAATCAACCTCCCCGCGGCTGGGTCTGTGACTAGGCCTCCTGGTGAATCGGGGTCTGATCAACCAAGCTATTACTGCTGGCCACACGTAGTGCTGTCTGGCAAAGAAATATTTGCAGGTTAAGGCGGAGATTACGATAGTGAATTGTCGTACCCCATAAAAAGCAAGGTGTGTTGGAGGTGCGTGCTTGTGTGAGGGGAGGTGTGGTAAGAGGGATCCGTGGGTGAGTGGGGGAGGTGGAAGAGGGGCGTGATGAGGGGTGATAGGATGGGGGAGGCGTGTTGGAGGTGGAGGGAGGGAGGAGGGTCAGCGGGAAGTTGAGAGATGGTGGAGGGGCCTTGAGGTGGTCAGTCGGCGACACTCATTACCCCTGACAGGGCGTGTCGAGCCCTCGCCCGAAGACCTCACGTTGACCACATCATCTGGAGTCACTCTTGTTACTCACCTCACAGGAGACGCACTGTCCACTTCGTCAGGAGCCCCTACCTTATTCTCGCCCAAAACTCCACTACGTCAAGAGCCTCCCCCCTCCCCCTTTACTCTCACGTCAGCCACCGTCAGGAACCTCTCACGTCAACCAAGGTCAGGAACCTCTCACGTCAACCACCGTCAGGAACCTCTCACGTCAACCACCGTCTGGACCTCTCACTTGTTGACCACCTTGCTAGGGGCTCTTGCTTTGCCCACCCCACTCGGAGTTTTCCCTTTTTCCTCTCAGTTGCTCACTTTTCGAATTTTCTAGCTTGAGTACCTACGTGGCAACTTACCCCATCACAACACCTGGTGACGTGAACGATAAACACGAATGTAAGTATCTGGTGGACTCGTGTGAATCACAATGTTTGTTATGATCCAATATAGTTCAGGCTTAACCACGTACGTGCATCTAAGTGCCTTAAAATCTACAGAATAATATAAACCATAAAGTGCCACTCTAGATCAACGAATTAAAAGTATTATGCTGATTTTCCGAAGAATCTTGGAGGAATCTTGAAGATATATACAACTTTGTACAATAAAAATGTGAGAGGAAAATCTGTAGGCAGTTGCAGACCGCTGGAAGGGCATTGACAGTGACGGATGTGGAAGCGAGGGGAGAGAGTGTGAGAGGGAGAGTGAGGGGGAGGACGGGGAGAGGACAGTGAACATCCAGATCCCCTCGGTGACGTCTTCTCCTCACCTGCCACAATGACATCAATGTACTTCCTGCTGGTGAGTAAAAGGAATGAGCCTGTTGTGTGTGTGTGTGTGTACTCACCTAGTTGTACTCACCTAGTTGAGGTTGCAGGGGTCGAGTCCAAGCTCCTGGCCCCGCCTCTTCAATGGTCGCTACTAGGTCACTCTCCCTGAACCATGAGCTTTATCGTACCTCTGCTTAAAGCTATGTATGGATCCTGCCTCCAGTACATCGCTTCCCAAACTATTCCACTTCCTGACTACTCTGTGGCTGAAGAAATACTTCCTAACATCCCTTTGATTCATCTGTCTTCAGCTTCCAACTGTGTATGTGTGTGTATGTGTGTATGTGTGTGTGTATGTGTGTGTGTATGTGTGTGTATATGTGTGTGTATATGTGTGTGTATGTGTGTATGTTGTGTTATGTGTGTGTATGTGTGTGTGTGTGTGTGTGTGTGTGTGTGTGTGTGTGTGTGTGTGTGTGTGTGTGTGTGTGTGTGTGTGTGTGTGTACTCACCTATTTGTGGTTGCAGGGGTCGAGTCTTAGCTCGAAATACTTCCTAACATCCCTTTGATTCATCTGTGTCTTCAGCTTCCAACTGTGTCTCCGTGTTGCAGTGTCCAGTCTCTGGAACATCCTGTGTGTGTGTGTGTGTGTGTGTGTGTGTGTGTGTGTGTGTGTGTGTGTGTGTGTGTGTGTGTGTTACTTGGGGTTCTGGTGGGCGTTGCTGTGTTGCATGAAGATATCGTGAGAACTAGTGATGAATTTTACAGATATTCATTTTTGCAACCCAATAAGACAAAGTAAATTTGGCATTTTTAATGACTACACAGTTCATACCAATCTAAGATGTTTGTAACAGTCATCTTTAGCTCTGAAGAACTTTATACACAGAGGTATGTATTTTTCGGTGTATATAAACAGACTTCTCTAATCCATATTCAAGGGATTAAAATATTTTTAATTTCTGTAACGGCGAAATTAAATTTTCACAAACAACTCAAACGGCAAGTGTTAAAAAAATTATATATATATATATATATATATATATATATATATATATATATATATATATATATATTATATATATATATATATAGGGTTGTAAGAGAAGTGAGTTGCTAGGGTGTTGGCAAGAGGTGTGGGATTAAGAGATAAAGATTAACACAAAGTGGGAGTTGTCACAGTTGTGTTTTGCTGATGGCACTAATTTTGGGAGGTTCTGAAGAGAAATTGCTGAGGTTGATGGACGAGTTTGAAAAGGTATGCAAAAAAAGAAAATTAAAAGTGAACGTGGGAAAGAGCAAGGTGGTGAGGATAATAAAAACTTAGGTAATGAAAGATTGGATATCAGATTTGAGAGGGAGTTTGGTGGAAGTGAATATATTCAGATACTGTTGGAGTGTGATCAGGGTAATATTTAGTGAAGGGATTCAGGGAAACCGGTTATTTTATATAGCCGGACTCGAGTCCTGGAAATGGGAAGTACAATGCCTGCACTCTAAAGGAGGGGTTTGAGATATTGGCAGTTTGGAGAGATATATTGTGTACTTTTATACGTATATACTTCTAAACTGTTGTATTCTGGGCACCTCTGCAAAAACAGAGATTATGTGTGAGTGAGGTGAAAGTGTTGAATGATGAAAGTATTTTCTTTTTGGGGATTTTCTTTTTTTTGGGGTCATCCTGCCTCGGTGGGAGACGGCAGACTTGTTGAAAAAAAAAAAAAACTTGGAAGTGCACTTGTCAGCAGATGGGTCTATGAAGGACAAGGCGAATCATAGAATTGATGAGGGGGGAAAAGTGTGAGTGGAGCACTGAAGAACCTGTGGAGATAAAGAACGTTATCCATGGAAGCAAAAAGGGGTCGTTCGGAGTGTTAGAGGGTATGGAATACAAAAAATGGCTCAGAGCATGTAAATCTGTAGTGGAACGAAGGTGAGGTAGGGGTCGTCCTAGGAAAGGTTGGAGGGAGGGGCAAAAAGGAGGTTTTGTGAGCGAGGGGCTTAGACTTCCAACAAGTGCGCGTGAGCGTGTTAGAAGCGAGTGGAGATGGTTTTTATGACTTGACTTGTTGGAGTGTGAGAAAAGTAACATTAATGAAGGGATTCAGGGAAACCAGTTAGTTGGATTTGAGTTCTAAAGAGAGGAAATACAGTGCCTGCACTCTGAGGGAGGGGTGTTGATATGTGGCAGTTTTTCAACTGTGGTGTACACCTCTTGCAAGACAGTGATGAAGTGAATGATGATAGTGTTTCTTCTTTTTCGGGTCACACTGCCTTGTTGGGAAACGGCCTAAGTGTTAAATAAAAAAAATAAATTACAATACATACATAATATTATATATATATATATATATATATATATTTATTTTAAAATAATATATAATATTTATAATTTGTTATACTATATAATTTAATATATATATATATAATATAATATATATATTTATTCATATAGTATTATATTTATGAATTATATATATATATAATTTTATATGTACTATATAATACTATATTATATATATATAATATATTATCTATTGATATAATATATATATATATTATATAAATTATTCTCGACACCGGCATTGGCGTTTTTAATATTAAATTCAAGGAAAATCGTTAAACCTGTATCTCTCAGACAGCACCCGGGTAATGGATCAAGAGCACTGCACCATCCTCAAGGTTCCCCCCCCCCCTTGAAGGGAGCGTCGGTCTAAGTGGACTTGCGTTCCCTGAAACCGACGACACACGCACCGGAAGTGTGTACAACGTACCATCACCTTCAGCGATCCACTACATTCGCCAGGGATCACGACCTCGGCGGACCGGACAAGGGTATATAAACCGAGGTGTATATCTCTCAGTCTGTATACACAGACGTGGATACATCTCAGTGTGTATGCAGAGGTTTATTATATTTTAGAGATTAGTCCATTATTGTTAGTTGTATTGCAAACTAACACGTGTGCAACTAATGCGACACTTTATTGTGGAAACGTTTCCCTCTCCAGGAGCTTTGTTGCTCCTGGAGATCGAAACTATACCACAAAATGTAGCATTAGTTGCACGTGTCCTTTTACCCAACATATAGCCGGTAATTATACCAACATTATTACCACCCTCGTGTAATTGACACCCCTTAAACCCAACAGATGTATCAATGTGTTGGATTTACAGCACACTGGAACTAACATCATGCTAGTTTATTCTAACCTAATTATTCTGTAAGACATACCACAGGTGGGGGTTAGAACCCATGACAAGCGCGTCGTTAAACTCTAGGCAAGTGCGTAAGCCACTGGCCCAGCTGGCTACAATAAGATGAATCTTAAATAACAACAACAAAAAAAAGGCACAATAGTGTGACTTTGTAAATGGTTCAAGTCGGACAGAAACGTCGTTGTAAGCTCCTCTCTATGTGCAGGTTATTCGTGTAAGACGAATCTTAGTATAGCCAGTGGCTCAGGCACTGGCCTGGAGTTTTGCGACACTCGCCATGGGTTCTAACCCCACCCATACCATGGTTCGTTTGTTATTACGATTTTGTGAGTTATTCTGTAATACGTTTAGCGGGAAGCGCTATATCAGTAAGAGTTATTAGCTCCTGGGAATGGAAAGCAAATAGGCTTTATCCAAGGGGAGGAGAGGTCCAGCTACTTGGATCAAGATCCCTTGAGAATCAAAGCACAATTTGAAAGTCCTTTTTATTCTAAATTTTAGTGTGGTTAAGCACCCAAGTTTTCTATATCTTGCCGCTATCGGTAAAATTTCTGTCACCAGTTTTCCGTCACACATTTTTTCCCAATAAATTCATATATAATATACATATCACAATATAATAATAAGGCTTATATAATTATCACTAAATCAAAACAACTAAATTGTCAATCATGGTCCAATTATTTTTTTCTTAATTTATTCCGCGATATAGGCCATAACTCGCAGAAAATTTTGACGAAAGGGGAAATATCCCTCTGTTATAGGCCGAAAATAAGTTTGTTGTGTTTTTAAGAACCACAATAAGGTGACCGAGTCTGGAGATCAAACTCCTGTACCATAGGACGGTGATAGTGTCTGAGGGGGTAAGTCATGTCCATAACTCGTTCCATAAACCATATGCCACAAACCACAGCAATTTTTTATGGGGAAAATATCCCCACTATTTAAGCAGGATAAAAGAGCTCCTACTTCGTTGAAACATCGTTTAAACCCTATCATCATCAGGGGAAGGCCAGGATACAAGGATATTACTGCCCCTAATCCGGTAGCTCTACCTGTATTAGAGAGCGCGAGTATCCCAAGGATTTCGAGAGAATAAAGTGAGAGACTGAGGTAATTATGGGAGAGTGAAAGCGAGTGAGATAGTAACGCACGTCTGGAGTTTATCAGTAACGTAGACTCACTCTGGAGGATGACCTTGAGGCTGAACTTGACCGAGATCTACGCCTCAATGTTCCTTCATCCCCCCCTCTTGCAACCCCCCACCTGCTTCCCTTCCCCTTCCCCCGGGTCCTTCCTTCCACGTCAACTTCCCTACGACTTTCCCCCCCCCCGGCCTCCTGCACCCCCACGTCTGTTCATGTGTCCCTCCCCCCTCCCACTCCCGGAGAATCAAGAGTTCCTGTGAGAGACGTGTCGGTGTAAGTTAACAGAGAGCTAGTGACGTAACTTTCACTCTATGTTCAGCACTAACTTATTCCAAACTCAAACTCATTCTCATGGTCTTCAAGTTCGTTAAGTTTACATTACTCTGTAAGACTAGAGAAAGCATTACTTCTTGCTAAATATGGAATAATTTTTTTCGAAACTTATTTTTTACGTTAATTTTAAAGTCAACTTATATATCGCAATTTGGTTAGTTCGATTTACTAAATGTAAATACAGTAACACTAATTAATGATATATTTAAATTCGAGATTTTTCTTTAAACAAAATTTAATAACTCAGCAGTACCTGGTTACCTGGAGGTTACCTGCAGTATGCTGCTATCAACACCATGCCCAGCCCTTCTAGGGTAGGGTAGGTGCCTGAGATCGAGCTTTCAGCTCACAAGACTGTCATTCTCATTAGCCCCCTTGGGGCGGGGATGGCAGACCAGAGAGGTCTAGCTTCTCCCTACGAGCCCCGTGAGGGCGGGGAACGTGGCTAGGCCATGGGGACAGTTGGTCCCTAAGATGAGGGGGCACTTGTACCTCCTCCCATGGGAGACTTAGGTCTCAGACACTCCTAGACAGGGAGCCAAGGCTGGGCTACCACTTGGCAAAGGCCCGGGAGAATACCGGTGAATCTAAAAAAAAAAAAAAAAAAAAAAAAAAGTATACTGCTGCTCTATTCTATACGATAGTTATACAGTGGGAATGGAAGCTAGCTAAATTTTCCTATCCTTTTTCATCCAGTAGGGTAAGTCACATACATTGTGTGAAAAATCTGTCAACCTCAGATGGGAGACTTCAGTAGGGCAATAGGGATATCAAGTACTCCATTAAATGTTCATCAATTATGACTTGATTTGCAAACAGAAAACTGGGAACAACAGAGTAAAGCTGATGAGCATGATGCAGAATTCCAGTACCACTGTGGCTTTACCGACGGTCTTGGACCGACGTCAAGAAATGAAAGGTTTGCTTAGCAGGATGCGTGTTGGTTCATCACTAGTACGGACGTCACCTCGCTAATATGTAACCTTATATCATAATATAAGCAGAGTTGCACTGCAATCCTTGGCTACACAGGTGCTCTTGAACCAACTTTGCAACTGCATTAATTACATTTTTACTTACCTTCCCACACAAAACCACACGCACTTGTGTGCGTATTCGAAAACAAACTACAAGAAGCAATTTTTCCATCTAAGATCAAAATAATGATTTCAATACTGTAATAATAATAATTAATAAATAATACTAATGTTTCAACACAGACACACTAAAGACTTGTAGTGGTACTTAAGAGGAAGAGAGACTAGAGTGCCGGTGCTCACCTTAAGATTTTTAACGTAAACAAGATGACTATTTTTATTGCTTAGATATATTTGGGTCTTCTGAACAAAACTAAGATCATCTGGCTTCTAATGGAAAAAAAATTGTACTTGGCTTTGTTGGGTTAGTCTTTATATATAATCATCTCGGGTTAAATAACCTTATGGATATTATCTTCATCGTCTTCTAATTTTTCTTGGTGTCCATGAGACTGGATGGTCGCGACCTGGCGCCTTCCCACACATACGCTCGTAAGTTCTCAGCGTGTACAGAGCACCGATTCGTGACGGCGTCGAGGTCCCCTGCTGGGCTGATGAGTCCTGCACTCGACCACACTCCGGTTTCTAAGCTCCCCTTGCACTCCGCCCAATTAAACGAAGCCGCGTAGGAACTTCAGCAGCACCCGTCGCAAAAACCTTGCGTGCAAGGGTGTGTGAGAGAGAGACTGTTTATACTCAATATAACTTACCTTGTTTTGCTCGAGAGAGTCGAGTGTTAACTCCGGAGCTCCATCTCTCAAATTTCTATACACTGGTGTCTACAATTTCAGTCCTGCCTCTTTGGTACCGTCGTATTAACTCTTGAATCCGATGCAGATTATGGAATGTTGTGATTCATGGCTCAGGGTATCTGGAAACAAAGTAATACTTCTTAAGATCATTTGTTAAGCTAGGATACCAACTAATATATATATAATATATATATATATTATATATATATATATATATATATATATATATAATATATATATATATATATATACATATTATATATAAAATCTCTCTGACAGCTTCCCTCCGTTGCTGTTCTCACTATTGTACCAAGCAACATCATCGCCGCTCATCTGGATTATCTCACACTTTTTGTGCATGTCTTTATCAAGAAGCTGACACTTGCAGAGTGGCTCTGAAGACACACACATACTGAGCTGAGATAAACTTGTTGTCACAGTGGCTATACTCCTCTCCTCCCTATCTCACTCGCCTGTGGTGCATGCTTGTTCCCCTACACACACACACGCACACACACCCTTCCCATCCCAGTCATTACATTCCATTATCTTTCGTTTTATTTAATACCTAAGAACGGTTTTTTACAAGTAAATTTTTTGTTCGGATTTTAAAACAAATATCTATTTGGCTAGTGTAGATAATTTTTGTATCATATCAAATTGTACTAATAACCGCGCGGCAGCAAATAGCAAGTTTTACCTATTCGACACAATGTGCATGTCTTTGCCTGACCAGCCCGACCAGAGCCCAGTCATCCCCGGGCTCTGACCAGCCCGACCAGAGCCCAGTCCTCCCCGGGCTCTGACCAGCCCGACCAGAGCCCAGTCATCCCTGGGCTCTGACCAGCCCGACCAGAGTCCAGTCCTCCCCGGGCTCTGACCAGCCCGACCAGAGCCCAGTCCTCCCCGGGCTCTGACCAACCCGACCAGAGCCCAGTCCTCCCCGGGCTCTGACCAACCCGACCAGAGCCCAGTCATCCCTGGGCTCTGACCAGCCCGACCAGAGCCCAGTCCTCCCCGGGCTCTGACCAGCCCGACCAGAGCCCAGTCCTCCCCGGGCTCTGACCAGCCCAACCAGAGCCCAGTCCTCCCCGGGCTCTGACCAGCCCGACCAGAGCCCAGTCATCCCCGGGCTCTGACCAGCCCGACCAGAGTCCAGTCCTCCCCGGGCTCTAACCAGCCCGACCAGAGCCCAGTCATCCCCGGGCTCTGACCAGCCCGACCAGAGCCCAGTCCTCCCCGGGCTCTGACCAGCCCGACCAGAGCCCAGTCATCCCCGGGCTCTGACCAGCCCGACCAGAGCCCAGTCATCCCCGGGCTCTGACCAGCCCGACCAGAGCCCAGTCTTGTCAGCCGGGGGCAATGATTGAAACAGGGCAAGTCGCGGGATATGGGACAAGCGGATTATGTAGGCAGGGGATCCGCGAGGCTTGGACACGCGACAGATCATTAGCCGGGTGGTAGGTAATGCACAGGCAGTATCCCCGCCTGACCACCTAACTCACATCTCCATGGTCTCGCCACACCTCACCTATATCCCAAGCATACAGACCGACCAATGACAGTCCTACCGGGCTAACAAGCCCGACCTAGTACCCAACTCCGGTTTTAACCATGTCCGATCCAGAGCCCAGTCACCGGGCTTCGACACCGAAAGGCCAGTCATCCCAGGCAGGCCAGACCAGGCCCAAGTATCCCGGGCTCTGACAGCCCGACAGAGCCCATGTCATTCCAGGCTCTGACCGACGAACAACCGTCTTGTCCTGTAAGGCTGGGGGAATGATGAATGGTATAAGTGCAAGCGGTAAGCGGATATGTAGGCAGGGCGGAGAGGCAGGCGAGGTGGTAGAAGTGAGATGATTAGCGGAGGTAGGTAGGTATGACAGGTCAGTGGTGACCACCACGACACTCTCATTAACTCTACACTACTCACTAACATATGCCTCGCCCACTCTTCACTCATATAAACATAATAAAATATGAGAAATAGGAATAGCTAATAACGGGACAGTGAATATTACTATTCTACTCAAACACAGTTTATTATTAAGTCCTTTTACAATAATATATTTGGGAACAGGAGTCATTGGGGTTTAGATAAAAGGGGTGGAAACACATAAGCAGTGAGACAGGGAATACAATTAGTTTGGCGAAACAGAATTAACTTACAATGTAGTTCAGAGGGCAGTTCATCACAGGAACAAAGCCACAGGTCCCATGACCTACACAGCACGAGTACTGGTACTGCGCCAACCCAGTACTTGCCCAATGCCTCCAACAGTCTCCCCCAGAGACTTCAGCAGCCTTTTTCCCGAGCCCTGCACCCCAGCAGCAGTCCGCTCGAAGTCTCTGCTCAGGAGCTCTGCACCCCAGCAGCAGCTCCGCCGAATCCCCTGATCATGCTCTTCCCACAACCACGTTACGACCTGACGCCTAGGTCTGAGGCGTCAAGAACAAAAGACCTCAGACGTGGGCGTGGCTACAGACGTTTGCCAAGGAAAGGTGTGACCATATAATTGGTTTAAAATTAGGTCTCCCCAGAGACCTCACAAGAGCCCAGCTGGACTACATCACATCCCCTTTCCCCCCCAATTTAAAATATCTGAGAACTAGACAATTTGTCCTAGTTATTAGACTATTTTAATCCTAATCCCTTAAATCTATTACAATACAAAGACAAATTTATACATAATACAATATTCAATTACATATTTTTTCCCTCAACCTCAACTACCACAAGGCAGCATAATCAGTACACCTGGAAGTTTGGCCGCATAATAGTCGCTCTCGGGTGCAAAGCCTCCTTACCAGTCATTTCTCCTTAAACCTAAATTCGGGCTCCAGTGCCTTCCCTACTTCTACTAGAAAATGCACTAGCCAATGCTAGTCACCCTCGCACGTTAACCATTGGGCCAAACCTCTCTAGGCTTCTAGGGCGTGGAAACTGCTCCAACGGATTGCATTCTTTAAAGTAACTGAACTGGCCACTTAAACCAACCCCCAAAGGTTGCATTTTCGGCAAAACTTCACATGCACACTACAACATCTGAAAATCGAGACAGGGCAGACATCGCAGTAAGACCCTCCATTATCCTATGCCACTACTAGGATTCACTGGCCTCATAAAACAAGGCGGCCATAATCACTGGACCGTTTTCAGGTCCCTTATTTCACACAGGTAACACTAACACTTCTGGCAAGTCAAAGTAGGCTGGGGACATCTCACACTCTTAATTGTCTCTCATGGCGGGCAGGGCATCCCGATTACCTGTCGCACAGGTCGACCAGCAAGGCAGGACACACCTCCATGCCGCCCTTTTAAAGCAGGTGGGTCCCAGCAGCTGGAGTCCATCTCCGCGGCTCACGTCCTTCCACATCTCCCAGGATGGCAACTCCTTTTAGTAGATTCTCCTGTCCTGGCACACCAGCCAGAATCCCTCACACACCACTGCAGCATCCCGCCATTTTCCTTTGAGCTAGGCAGCATCGCAGCATCACAGCACGGCCACAGCATATCCATCATCACAGCACGGCCGTATCACAGCAGCACATAGCACGGCCGTATCACAGCAGCACACAGCACGGCCACAGCATCGCAGCACGGCTACAACATCGCAGCACGGTCCCCGCTCACAGCACGGCCGCAGCGTCTCAACATCACAGCACGGCCGCAGCATCTCAACATCACAGCAGCACACAGCACGGCCCCCAGCATTGCGCATGGTACAGCATCTCAGCACGGCCACAGCATAGCAGCACGGCTACAGCATCTCAGCAGCATCACAGCAGCCGACATCAGCAGTAGAGGCTATGGTCAGTTGTCGAGGGGAGGTGAGGTCATTCAGGTCATCAACAGCAGGTGCGGTCACCCATCCCTGGCAACTGCGGGTAACTGGCGGTCCGTGGGTGATGGTCACAGAGGCTGGGTGACGCAGACAGACACCCCCTACACTGGATGACAGACCAGGGCAGCAATACATCTATGGGGCCATCAGCTGGGTGACTGGGCTATCAGTGGGTGACTGGGGAACAGGGGACAGCAATCATAGGCAACTCTTCAATGGGTGACAGTTGTGGGTAAGTCTTCCAAGGCGGCTGGGTGATTCTCATTTTCCCCTGTAAATATTCAATTTCGGCCAGTAATTGCTTCCCCCAAAGTCTCACCCAAATACTGATATTCTCCACCATTTATCATCTAACCAACAACCAACTCCAAAATATAATATCACACCCAAACAGTTATTTAGACCCACCGTCAAAAAAGGACAGTTAAGGTCACTAGGATTATAATATCATACAGATATTAACTTTAGATTTTACACACACAAGAAAAAAAAAGTGGTAGCAAATGGTAGCATAACAATATTAACCGAGCAGTCAAAAATAAGGCACATGGGACTGGTTCCTACTATAAAAATAATAAGAACCACCACCGCTTAGACACCATGTCATGTAGGGGGGTGATGATTAAGGGAATATGGGGGTAAGTGGGGGGAGTCAGTAGGTAGGGGACAGGCGAGGTGGTAGGAGTGAGGTATGCGGAGGTAGGTAGGTGATGACAGGAGAGGTGAGCGGTAGGTAGGTAATGTGAGGTCACTGGTGACTACAACTTCACCTCTCATTACTCTACCCACCACACTCCACACTACTCACCCTCTCACTACTTTAACTTAACATAAATAAATGGAGAAAATAACGGGGACAGTGACTATTACTATTCTACTCAAACACAGTTTATTATTAAGTCTTTGTACAATAATATATTTGGGAACAGAACATTATTGTGGTTTAGATAAATGGGGTAGTACACATAAGCAGTGAGACAGGGAACACAATCAACTTGACCAAAATGAATGTAACTTACAATATAGTTCAGAGGGCAGTTCATCACAGGAACTAAGCCACAGGTCCCAAGACCTACACAGCACGAGTAATGCGCCAAGCCAGTACTCTGCCCAATGCCTCCAACAGTCTCCTCCAGAGACTTCAGCAGCCTTCTCCCGAGCCCTGCACCCCAGCAGCAGCTCCGCTCGAATCTCTCCTACTCAGCTCTTCCTTGGGCTTTTATGGTGGTCCAAGCACCCTCCACAACCATGTGTACGACCTGACGCCTAGGTCT